ATTGTTATATCTTCTTGGACTGATCCCTTGATCATCATGTAGTGTCCTTCTTTGTCTCTTTTAATAGCCTTTATTTTAAATTCTATTTTTTCAATATCAGAATTGCTACTCCAGCTTTCTTTTGATTTCCATTTGCATGGAATATCTTTTTCCATGCCCTCACTTTCAGTCTGTATGTGTCCCTAGGTTTGAAGTGGATCTCTTGTAGACAGTATACATACGGGTCTTGTTTTTGTATCCATTCAGTGAGTCTATGTCTTTTGCTATGAGCATTTAATCCATTTACGTTTAAGGTAATTATCAATATATATGTTACTATTACCATTTTCTTAGTTGTTTGGCTTTTGTTATTGTAAGTCTTTTTCTTCTCTTGTGGTTCCTGCCTAGAGTAGTTCCTTTAGCATTTGTTGTAAAGCTGGTTTGGTGGTGCTGAATTCTCTTAGCTTTTGCTTGTCTGTAAAGGTTTTAATTTCTCCTTCAAATCTGAATGAAATCCTGGTGGATAGAGTAATCTTGGTTGTAGGTTTTTCCCTTTCATCACTTTAAATATGTCCTGCCGTTCCCTTTTGGCTTGCAGAGTTTCTGCTAAAAGGTCAGCTGTTAACCTTATGGGGATTCCTTTGTAGTTATTTGTTGTTTTTCCCTTGCTGCTTTTAATATTTTTTCTTTGAATTTAAATTTTGATAGTTTGATTAATATGTGTCTTGGCATGTTTCTCCTTGGATTTATCCTGTATGGGACTCTCTGTGCTTCCTGGACTTGATTAACTATTTCCTTTCCCATATTAGGGAAGTTTTCAACTATACTCACTTCAAATATTTTCTCAGTGCCTTTCTTTTTTTCTTCTTCTTCTGGGACCCCTATAATTCGAATGTTGGTGTGTTTAATGTGTCCCCGTGGTCTCTGAGACTGTCCTCAATTCTTTTCATTCTTTTTTCTTTATTCTGCTCTGCAGTAGTTATTTCCACTATTTTATCTTCCAGGTCACTTATCCGTTCTTTTGCCTCAATTATTCTGCTATTGATCCCTTCTAGAGCATGTTTAATTTCATTTATTGTGTTGTTCATCGTTGCTTGTTTCATCTTTAGGTCTTCTAGGTCCTTGTTAAATGTTTCTTGTATTTTCTCTATTGTACTTCCAAGATTTTGGAACATGTTTACTATCATTACTCTGAATTCTTTTTCAGGTAGACTGACTATTTTCTCTTCATTTGTTTGGTCTGGTGGGTTGTTACCTTGCTCCTTCATCTTCTGTGTGTTTCTGTCTTCTCATTCTGCTTCACTTACTGTTTTGGGGGTCCCCTTTTCGCCAGCTGCAGGTTCGTAGTTCCCGTTGTTTTTGGTTTGTGCCCCTAGTGGCTAAGGTTGGTTCAGTGGGTTGTGTAGGCTTCCTGGTGGAGGGGAGTTGTGCCTGTGTTCTGGTGGACGAGGTTGGATCTTGTCTTGTTGGTGGGCAGGACCATGTCCAGTGGTGTCTTTTGCGGCATCTGCGACCTTATTATGATTTTAGGCAGCCTCTCTGCTAATGGGTGGGGTTGTGTTCCTGTCCTGTTAGTTGTTTGGCATAGGGTGTCCAGCACTGTAGCTTGCTGGTTGTTGAGTGGAGCTGTGTCTTCACGTTGTGATGGAGATCTCTGGGTAGCTTTCGCCGTTTGATATTACGTGGAGCCGGGAGGTCTCTGATGGACCAGTGTGCTGAACTCGGCTCTCTCACCTCAGAGGCAGAGGCCCGACACGTGGCCGGAGCACCAAGACCGTGTCTGCCACACGGCTCAGAAGAAAAGGGAGAAAAAAAAAGAAAGAGAGAAGGAAAAGTAATAAAATAATGTTATTTATATAATAAATTATTAAAAATTTAAAAATTCAAAAGTAATTAAAAAAAGAAAAAATAAATAAAGAATGAAAGAAAGAAGTGAGCAACCAGACCAAAAAACAAATCCACCAATGATAACAAGTGCTAAAAACTATACTAAAAAAAATGACAGACTGAGCCCTAGGACAAATGGTAAAAACAAAGCTATGCAGACAAAATCACACAAAGAATCATACACATACACACTCACTAAGAGAAAAAGGAAAAATATATATATGCCGTTGCTCCCAAATTCTACCACTTCTATTTTGGGATGATTCGTTATCTGTTCAGGTATTCCACAGATACAGGGTACATCAAGTTGACTGTGGAGATTTAATCCCATGCTCCTGAGGCTGCTGGGAGAGATTTCCCTTTCTCTTCTTTGTTCTCGCAGCTCCCAGGGTTTAGCTTTGGATTGGCCCCGCCTCTGCCTATAGGTAGCCTGAGGGCATCTGTTCTTCGCTCAGACAGGACAAGGTTAAAGGAGTAGCTGATTCGGGGTCTCTGGCTCACTCATGCCGGGGCGTGGGAGGGTATGGATGTGGGGCAAGCCTGCTGCGGCAGAGGCCAGCATGACATTGCGCCAGCATGACATTGCACCAGCCTGAGGCGCACCATGTGTTCTCCCGGGGAAGTTGTCCCTGGATCGTGGGACCCTGGCAGTGGTGGGCTGCACAGGCTCCCAGGAGGGGAGGTGTGGAGAGTGACCTTGCTCGCACACAGGATTCTTGGTGGCTGCAGCAGCAGTGTTAGCATCTCATGCCCATCTCTGGGGTCCACACTGACAGCCGCGGCTCGCGCCCATCTCTGGAGCTCGTTTAGGCGGTGCTCTGAATCCCCTCTACTTACACACCCTGAAACAATGGTCTCTTGCCTCTTTGGAAACTCCAGACTTTTTCCTGAACTCCCTTCGGCTAGCTGTGGTGCACTAACCCCTTCAGGCTGTGTTCACGCTGCCAACCCCAGTCCTCTCCCTGGGATCTGACCTTGACCTCAAAGCCGGAGCCTCAGCTCCCTGCCCCACCCGCCCCTGGAGGGTGAGCAGACAAGCCTCTCGGGCTGGTGAGTGCTGGGCGGCACCGATCCTCTGTGTGGGGATTGCTCCACTTTGCCCTCCACACCCCTGTGCTGCGCTCTCCGTGGCTCCGAAGCTCCCCCCGTTCCGCCACCCTCAGTCTCCACCAGCAAAGGGGCTTCCTAGTGTGTGGAAACTTCTCCTCCTTCACACCTCCCTCCCAGAGGTGCAGGCCCTGTCCCTATTCTTTTGTCTCTGTTTTTTCTTTTTTTCTTTTGTCCTACCCAGGTACGTGGGGAGTTTCTTTTCTTTTGGGAGGTCTGAGGTCTTCTGCCAGCATTGAGTAGGTGTTCTATAGGAGCTGTTCCACATGTAGATGTATTTCTGATGTATTTGTTGGGGGGGAAGGTGATCTCTACATCTTACTCTTCCACCATCTTGAAGGTCTCCCAATGTCTTTGTTTTTTTTTATCAGGGCACCATAAACAGAATTAATACATTCTTTATTCTGGAGTCAAAAAATTAAAATAATAGATTTCCTCATTTTACGAGCTTAAATCACTGTAATTATATCACTTACAATTTTGTTGTTGTGTAACTATTACATAAAAGTTAATATACTACATATATGGGATATTCTTAGCTATCCACAAATGAAACATTACTTGCCAAAGGTTATTTTTATATAAAGGGGGTAAAATTTATTGTTGAAAACTAATTTTGTATATATCTAGGTTATATTTATTTTTTGATCATAGGAAGTGTTCTGTATTAATACTTAATAATGCATCCACATTTAAGTTTTAAAGTATCAGTTGACATTATTAGATAAATTGATAGATGGAAATTGGTAAGGGATATTTGATGAAACATGCTGTGGTTTGGTGAAATAGTATGTAGGATATGTGGTCTTTTCTTTGTTGAGGTTATACTGAGGTCATATTTACTTAAGTAACCCTTTGTATCCCATTCAGAGTTATATTGCTCTTTTCTCTTTTTTTGATTTGGACTCAAAGATGTAAATGAATGTGAAGTCCTTATGGAATTTGTTACAGTATTGCTTCTGTTTTATGTTTTGGTTTTTTGGCTGTGAGGTATGTGGGATCTTAGTTGTCAGACCAGGGATTGAACCTGCACCCCCTACATAGGAAGGAAAAGTCTTAACTTTCAATAAAGACTTTAAAAAAAAAATAAATGGTCCACATCAAAAAAATCTTAAAAATAAAAAATAAATGAATGTGAGAGTTATTCTTGTTACTTTACATATATATGTATATATGTATATATCTATATTTCCTTAATATGTTAGCTTGTATATATGTATATAAACATTTATATACATGCACTTTATAAATAATATATTCAATGCATAAAATATGTAATATATATTTGTTAGAACAGCAAATACTTTCAGTCTTGCATGTTGGCATGGGCTGAGTGTTTACGATGAAATGAAATGAATGAAATTATTTTCGCTGGGCTTATCATGAGATTGAAAACACATACAAACTGAATACATATTCAGCAGCAGTAGGAATCTTGTCTTTGGCTTAAGCTTGTTTGAGCTAAAATACACAGCCTGCCTGGTAGTTCTGGAGTCCTGATTAATGGGTCCACCATGGGCCATTTTACCAGAGAAGTGAGGAATCTTTCTTGAAATAATTTGCTTTAAGCAAATAGAGAATGGAAGCACTCAAGTTTGCTTCGAGAAAAATGGCTGACAGATGAATGCGAGCTGTGGTTTTTGCTGTTATATGGTATCTGCTCCTCAGATTCATCTGGCCTATCCTCAAATTGAGACATACGAAGACAAAGTGTTTGATAAAACTAAAGGGACTCTTTAGACGCAAGCAAACACACAGCATAAGACATCCATCAGGAACCCTGGGCAACATTACATTGGCACTGACGTAATGAAGTCTGTTTTCCTTTCACCCAATAATTGTCTTTATCGCCACACTCTGGTGTTCAGCTTTTTTTCCCTACCCCTGAAAATTTATAAAGAGAAATCTCATAAGTAAAAGTATTTATAAACAATGTAATAATTACCGTGGTGTCTGTGTAATGTGAAGTGTTTTTTTTTCAGGCACATTTTTCTTTTTGATCTACTAATATATATGTTTGCTTTTAGGTTTCCTCAAGAACTGAACATGGGAAAAATAAGTGCTGAAATTATGTGGACCCTTTTTGCTCAGGATATGAAAGATGCACTAGAAGGTAGGTACAAATATTTAAATTTACTAAGAGTATACGTTTTAGTTAAATTTTGATTTTGTGTTCTTGATTTTAAATGTAAGGAACTGTTGCATCAAAACATCGATCACTGTGATCAGTTTAGTTCTGAAACTTATTTCCACATTGTGGAAAGATAAAGATCGCAAAGTATTTAAAAGCCCTGAAGAAATGCATTTTAAATCAAATGGTCTAAGTTGCAGGATAATAGTGAGTATTTCATATGTAGGACAAAGTTTAGACGCAGGAATACTTTGTGGCATAAATCAGACCATATTGAGAGGGTAGATGAGTAATACTAGTTCAGATATTTGTCTACCTAGACTTAGAAATGGTATCCGATGGCTGGGCAGGTTAAAATATGGCCAAAGCTGGTGCAAAGAAAATGGCAGGGCTCTTCACCAGAAACTCCACTTTCAATATACTCAAATCATAGAATGTAAAGCATGGGAATAGCAGCTCTCAGTTGAAAAACTATAAATTTCTTTGAGCACTCACCTTGTATTTAGAGTTGGAGGTAGTATGTTTAACCAGCCTAGGGTTCCTGCTCTCTAGGAATTTAAAACCTAGTAGAAAGTTTTCTTTGCACTTATTCACTATGTATTAAGCCCCTAGATGCTAAATGCCCAGACTGCACTCAGTATGGAAGATACAACAATGAACAGGACAGCTATGGTCCCTGCCCTCAACAAGATTATGCAGGACAGCTGCAAATATGTAGACGGTTGCAATGTGGGGGTGGTCAGTGGTAAAGATGATGGAATATCTGGAGGTGAAGCTCCTAAGTCAGACTTAGGACAAGGGGGCAAGGCAGGTTTTCTAGAGGAACTTCCTCTGAGGAAGTGTTATCTTGACAAAGACCTGAAGTATAAGTAGGAGTTCACTTTGGGAAGAGTTGAGCAAGAAGCATCTCTGTCTTGTCCTGGTCAAGGACAAAGCATTAACAAGTAGAGTGAGCACAGGGTTCATCTGAGAAGAGAACTCAGCTGGTCCTCTGAGCAACAGGTAGCAGGAAGTGAGGCTGGAGAAATTGTCAGGGACCAGCATGTGCTGCCTTGTGGGCCATGATGAGGAGTTTGACTCTGCTAAGAGAAATGACAGACCATAAAGGGATTTCAGGAGGGACATGTCCTGTTCAGATTGGCAGCTTAGAACAGGCATTGGGACCGCAGAGTGGAAGATGACTGATTGAGTTTGTGCTCATTGTGCCACTGTTTTTTTCTTAGTGTTGCTGAAATGTCAGCTTCTTGCTAGGGCACACAGAGGAAGCATACAGTACTTTTCCTTATTTGAAAAGGAAGGTACACAATAGATTTTAATACCTGATTTTCGGGTAAAGTCTGGGTCTACCACCTAATTAGATAAATTAGGACTTATCCTTAAAATTTTACCAGAACTTGCTCAGAGATGCAAACTCCTTATTCTGCAGTGAAGCGTTCCTTCTCCATTGTATTGATCAATCCTGCTTTCTCTACCTCTGCCTCCTACCAACCACAAGCTTTTCATCAGCTCATTTACTGCCTGGATTTCTCTTCCCACCGCTCTTCATGCAGCCATGTAGGGCTCAGGAGCTAAAGTCACCTCCATGAATAACCTTATCTTAATCCTCTGCATAGCAACTAATTACTATCCTTTATTTACTTGTTTACTCAGGCTTTTTATCTGTCTTCCTTGCCACAGTGCAGATTTTTTGCCTGTGAGTTTTATCAGCATATCTGTATTGCCTAGAATGAAGCCTAGAAAATAGAAACTACTTGATAACTATGTGTTGCATCAGTGAAGACTTTACCAGTTAATCCCAACTCAGTGTAGTAGTAGAAAAAGCAGTAGAGACTTCTGTTTGTGATCCTTTTCTATGTGATCTTGGGAATATTTTAAGAGGTCAACACCTTCGTGTTTCGTTGTCCTCACCTGAAAAATGAAAAGTTCACACTGGATCAGAGGGCTGGGCAATGGGCAAGGAGCCGCTCCTTCCCATATTTCAGAGGAGCTTGACTATTTGGGACCATTCCACAGTGGCATTGCCCACCAGTGCACATTTCGTTTGGACAGGGCCTCTATCTTTATTTATATAACATTTGTGCAACTATTGGATGTTTTATTTTATGTTACCTTTGCTTTAAAAAATAAGTAGTAATTTTAGACAACTAAGTATAATATTTATGTTAGGAAATGTAAATCTCAAAAAATATAACGTTTGTTTGAAACAACAGTGAAATTAGAAATGCTACATGTAAAGCACCATAACTTTGGTTGGATGTTTATTGATTAGAGGTTAATAATTTTGTGCAAAACCAGTATCCCAAAATGCTGAGATTGTATTATTAAAAGTCAGGTCCAAGATCAAGGGTAAGTAATTATTTTGTGATTATCTTAGGTTTTCTGGAGACAAGAATCCTTTCCTTAACACATTTTTTAATGTTTTTTTAATTTATTATTTTATTTTTTTAATAGCAGCTGTATTGAGATATAATTCACATCCCATACAATTCACCTAAAGTGTCCCGTTCACTAGTTTGCACATTCACACCCATTTTCAGGAAGGCATAATGAGCATAGTAAGGGAGTAATTTAGATTGCAGTTCCTGGTTTATGTATCTTCTACACCAGATGAGAAGGCTTTTGAGTGTAAAGATTGTATTTCTCATTTCTGTATTCACTGAACCTTAATAGAAGCTTAGTATGTGTTAGTTTACTTGAATCAAATTACAAATGGGACAACCTTATACAAAGAGCCTCACAGACAAAGCCAGATACTTATGTTCAAACTAAACATTTCTAGTATTGCTAGTTGGGAGGCAGCAAGAGATCTGAGTCTGGGAAACCCAGTTTCAGAAAGCTTTCTCACGTATGAGCTGCACCAGCTTGGGCAATTAATGTATAACATCTCCAAACTTTAGTTTTCCTTTCAGTAAAAAGGTGATAAGAGTTCCCAGGTTGGTGTGAGGATTACATGATACCTCAAATATACTATACTTCAAAATTACGGTGCTAATGGGAGGAGAGCATTATTATTATATAAATGGAGAAAGATCTGTGAAAGTCTCAAAACAGTCTCCTTTAGAGGTCATTTAAGGTTTAAAACTCCTAGGACAGTGTTTACAAATCCATGTTCATTTGTTCCCTATCTCTCCGTCCTTCCCTTTCACCATTTCAATGTAATAGATGGCTTCATACTGTGACATTTTAAAAAATGTGACATGAATAATAATTGTTAAAGAAAATAAGGACTAGGAATACCTCACAGAATAGAGGGCATATACTTAAAAACATTCTTCTGGCAGGCTCTTTTACATGTGATAGTAATGTTCTTACTCTCCCTATTTGCCTTATAGAATGTTGTTAAAATTAATTGACTGTGGAGGAGTGCTTCAGGCTATTGGCCTAGAAAGACTCTGTGTTGTTATATAATTTGGGCTACATAGTTTGTCTTATGATTAAAGCACCTGAGCCCAAGTTGTAAGTAACCTCTGATGAAGTCAGGTCAACAGAGAAGTGAGTTAGAATTTATGGACTTAAGGCTTTTTGATGCAGCTTTTTGCTTTACTTCATGAACTCATCAGCTGCTACGAAAAGAATAATTTAATTTAAAAATAAATAACTTTTCCCCCAACTTTACTCAGTCTATATGAGCCATCTTATTTTGTTTTCAGATTTGACATTAATCACCGTACAACTTTGATAAGCAGTATCAGACTTTGGTGATAACTTGCTGAATGAACCAGAATAAATTATTTTACCGATTTTACACAAAAGATGTACTTTCTGTGAAAAAGGTAGTTTAGGAAGAAAAAAGTCCCTGATGAAATATTTCATTTTATAGTGAAATAGAGTTGGTTTTGCAGAATTTTTTCTAAAGCAGTTATTCTAAAGGCTTTTATAGTCTTTAGCCTGGCTGGTAAAAATACAGGTTTTGCAGTAAGTTAGATCTATGTGTGAGTTCAGGCTCCGCTACTTTCCATTAATTTGTTAGCTATGATCTTGGACAGTTTATTAAAGTAAGTCTCAGTTTCCATATTTTAAAATTAGGGACAAAAATACCTACCTTACCAGGTTATTTTAAGGAGAAAGGAAGAAAGAGAGAGAGCTATGGGGGCAAGGAGCGGATAGTTTCCTAGTGCATAATAAATACTCAAACATTAGCCATTATCACAATCTTGAGGATTATAATTTAGTAAACAGAAACTTTCAGATGATTTATAATACCACCCAAATGTCTAGATGCCTGTGACTGAAAGTTTTACTTGGCAATCGCAGTTGACGGCACACGTTTTATATGTCATCTTGGTATCCATAGAACTGGGTTGCCTGGCAATCAAGGCAGTCCTGTTCAGGGCCCTGATTGTGTAACATATGTGGGTGTCTTCAAAGTCTCTATTAAAAGCAAACCCAGCTAGGCCCCAAGATAGCAGCCATTTGGTGGATTGGGTCCTCAAGCATTCAGGTGGTTTCTAATTAATAATTCTGTAGAGTAGTGCTTGGGATTCTTTAACTACTACTCCTTAAATTGGAATTTGTGGCTGGGCTTTAAGTCATATTCTGAAATTGCATCCGCTTGTAAGGATGGATGGGATGGGAGAAGAGTATCTAAAGCATTTGCCACATTCTCAGATGAATCTTTGAATAGAAAAATAATTAAAAATCATTGAAAATAGATTAGTTAAAAATGACTGTTTTACTTAATTAACTTAGGCAGAGATGGAATTAATTATGATATGCAAAATACAATCATCTTTCACCTGGCCTTATTTAAAGTCTCCCAGATCAGAGCTCCTCAAACTTTAATGTGTACAATAGTCCCCGGGAATCTTGTTAAAATGCAGGTTCTGGTTGAGTAGACCTTTTGGGGGGCAGGGTAGGTGGTTCTCTCCATTTCTACCAAAATCTGAGATGATGCCCAGGCATCTGGTTAGTGCACCACACACTGAGTAGCAGCAAGGCTTTAACACTGGACATTCTATCTTTTTACCGCCAATCTTTCTGGT